GTTTTTAATGAGTGTATAGGACGTCTCCCTTAATAATACACCCAATGCGCGCCCACTATTTGCTCTTGAGTCCTTCACTCTGAGTCTTACCGTCCCGCCGGACACAGGTTCCACACACTGGTCTTATTCAGATCGTAATGAACTCTAAAGATCCATCACAGGACGTGTGCCGTGGTTAATTGTTTGCAGTGAAAACAGTCACGTGTGGGAACTTTGGAAATGTGTAAACACACTTTGAGTGCAAGAAGTAGTGATTACAGTGTGTACTGGTGTGACTGTGGAGCTTCAGTCCTGAGGAATGTAAGGTGAGAGATTGTAAAGCTGAACGTTTGTAATAAAAAAAAAGACTGTCTATCCTTTACCTCTTTTACTGTCATTCATTATGCTACAGACCTGCACTGGGTGCATCAGGAGCAAGGCACATAGACTCTGTGAAGGTTTTACCTATTTTTTTGTGTTGTTTTTCATCTCTTTGTAGTTGTTATGCATTTTTTTGTGGTTTTGCATCTCTTTGCGGTTGTTCTGTGTGCGAGTTCACTCACAATAGTTTTCCAAAGTGCTCCTGACCCAGTGTAGTAATATCTGTTATACAGTCATGTTGGTTTTTAATGCAGTGCCACATGAGAGGTCAAAGGTCAAGGGTATTCAGTGTTTGTTTTAGGCCTTGCCCCTTTTTTGCAGAGATTTTTCCACAATCTCTGAGTCTTTTGTTGATATTATGGATTGTAGATGGTATAATCTATAAAGTCATTGCTATTGTGCATTTATGCATTTAGAAAGGTTGTTCTGAAACTGTTGGACTGTTTGTCAATGCAGTTTTTCCCACAAAGTGACCATCCTTGCTTGTGAACGACTGAGCCTTTTGAGGATGCCTCGTTCATACCCAATCATGATGCTTTAATCTGTTACCAATTGACCTGTTTACGTGTGGAATATTTCAAACAGGTTTTTTAAGCATTCTGCAACTTCCTCAGTCTTTTGTTGCCTCTGTTCTAACTTTTTTGGAATGTGTTTTAATGCCAAATTCAGTTAAATATAGGTCAAAAAAGCAAATCATTGCATTCTGTCTTTTTTTACATTTTACAGTTTCCCTTCTTTTTTTAATTGGGCTTGTAGCATGTGTCTCTTTGCTGTTCCTTTGCATCTGTTTGTGGTCCTTTTTTGTCTCTTTTGTTTTTTTTAAATCTCTTCCTAGTCGGTATGTGTCAATTTGAGTGACATTTTGCAGGTGAAGGGCCCTGACACTTTGGGCCCCTGAGCCTGTGCCCGGTGGGCTCGTTCAGTGATCCATCTGGTTCCTTAAGATCAGATCGCCACATGCGGCTGAAAATGACAGTGGACAAATGCAAAAGAAGGTTTTGGATATATAATGTAATGTTGTCTGTAACCGATATGTTGATTTTGTGCATTTTTGTTTAAAAGTGCTGCTGTCTGTCTTGATCAGATTTTTTCCCCTCATTTTTATCTCAACGAGGCCTTCCCTGGTTAAATAAAAAATTGAAACAGAAAAAAAATACATGCATTTTTATTTTACAGAAGGTTGCTGCTCTGTTTGGTTTGCTCCCAGGTGGTCTGTAACTCAAAAAATCCACCAGAGGGCAATCACAGCCAACTTCTTGAGCTGCTTGCTGTTAGTCTCAAGTCTGTCACTCCTCTCACTTAACTTGTTTTTTAGAAATCTGACCATTTTCAATCTGATAAAAGCTCTTTAAAATAATTAAAGCAGGCATACATTTCAAAGTGTGCATGTGGCCATTTTTCATTTGTCTGTGCACAGTGCAACAGTGCCCAGAGTTGGCCTAACAATACGTCATTACAGAGGTACACTTAGGCCAGAGAATTTAAATATATTCTAATAAGATCATGATCATTTATCAAGAACTCCTTCACTCCCCTTTTTACTTGCACCCTACAGACATAAATCACCATGCTGCTGGCTGCAGCAGTGACCGGCTGACTACTAATTAGCCATGCCACATATTTTGCAGCAACGTCTGACCACAGGAAAGATGCTTGAACTGGTACCTGATCATCTTCAAATGATGTGTGTTCAGGTGTGCATAGGAAAGAAATCTAATATTTTATCTTCAGAAAATGAGTGTAAAGATTGATTTAAAGATGATGCATGCAGATTATTTAGAAATAATCTATTCTTTCTGTCAGGCATTTGACATCTGTTTGCCATTGGTATCTTATTCAGGGATTTTAACTTTCTAAATTAACTTGTCAACTAGTCCTGACTTGGCATGTGCTCAGTCAGGGTGCATAATCTGAAGAAGATGTAAAAATATGGTCCACCCAAATGTATCATGTGACGTCAGGAGTGCTGCAGTGAATTTAACAGTACTGGAATGAGTTGAAGTAAAATTTCATGTCTTGCAAGTCTACCTTTCAGTTTTCTTTATCAGTGTGTGTTGGTTGCTGGTTTAAGATTGGGTGTAGACCAACAAGAAGGCAGTGGTCACAATGAGTCACAAATAAAACAGTTGACACAGTGATCTCTGCTGCTTCAGTCATTCCTTGACAAATCATGCAAAATTGTTGCGGCAATTGTTAGTTATCTTTATGTCAATCCTATCAGTAGGACTGGGCTCAATGTCATAAAAAAATTATATATATATATATTGAAAAAAACAAAAAAATTAGATTTAGATGTGCCTTAAGCCACATGGTGGCAGGCTTCAGGCGTCACTGACTGGTCTGATAACAGCACAGGCACAGAAAAGGGTGCAGACAAGCTATCTTATCAGAAGTAGCCAGCTGCAAATACACAGGTTCTCATGACTTCACTCTGCCTGTGGAAACACATGAACTCAAACCACTGCTTGTCTGTGGACAGCACGCAGGGGGGCAACTCATCAAAGGGAGGACACTCTGGGGTGCAGGGGGCACAGAGCTGTCTCTGATTTAATCACAGCACTTTCTATGATTTGTGCTAGGCTGTGTGTTGCTCCTCCTGAGCTCAGATAAAGTCAAGTGAAAAGGGGCAAATGCTTCAGAGCTAATTTAACAACATTTACTTTTGCTTAAACTGGACATTTTATAATCAAGGAGAAGCTGTGATTCATTGCATTTCCAGTTATATCCAATGTTAGGGGTTTCACTTTACCTATTACAGAATACTGCTATCTCTGGTGTGATTGCATGTTGTTCCTTCTTTGAGGAGAGACATAGTTTTAAGTGATCTTAATGGAGCAACATATAGGATTCATCCAGTGGTTTCATCTGAAGCTTCTCCCAGATGCCAAGGGTGAACTCTTTGCACTGGAGCCTATCCCAGCTGACATTGGGCGAGAAGCAGGGTACACCCTAGACAGGTTGCCAGACTGTCACAGGGCTGACACATAGAGACAGACAATTCACACTCACATTCACACCTACGAGCTATTTAGAGTCACCAATTAACCTGCATGTCTCTGGACTGTGGGAGGAAGCCGGAGTAACCGGAGAAAACCCACGCTGACACGGGGAGAACATGCAAAGTCCGCACAGAAGGGCTCCCCTACCCCAAGGTTCGAACCCTCCAACCCCCTTAATTCAAATGCTCTGAACAACCCCTAACCACATGTTAAATCCCTTAAAGCTACAATATGTAAATAAGCAAATTTTTAGTTAATACAAGTTGGGATTTTTTTAATAACTCACTATATCCTCCCAGTGGTTCATGAGGCAGAATCCTCATAGTGCTCCTAATGGCATTTGCGAGAATCAGGATAACAACCAATCAGAGCTGAAAAGTCTGTCAATCACTGCTCATGAATTTAATTTAATATGAATCAAGATTCTGTTACTGCCTATTTGTCGCCTCAGTTGTTTTCAAAAACATATTTTAGTGTACTGTTTAGCTGTAAAATGAGAACGTTTGCTTGGCACAACTGTTTCCAACATGGTGGTCATAAACGCTCTCATTTTACAGCTTAAAAGTACACTAAAAGTTGTTTTTGAAAACATAATAGGCAATGCAGTGACAGAATCTTGATTCATATTTGATAAGCGCTGCCTAGTTTGTCAGTTTGACTGCAGTTCACAAGCAGTGATCGACGTGATTGACAGCTACTCTCTCTGAAAGTGGCATAGCCAGAGTCTCCTGTCACAGGCTAGATTTTCTAAAGCGTGAAAAGAGAGCCAAGCAGAGATGCAGCAGTCTTGATCTCTCTCCACTTGAATTACAATGCACTCAGAGTTTATTATGGAAGTTTTGCCCAATGATGCCAAAATTAAACTGCTTACCTAAGCTTTTAATCCATCTTTTAATGGCCCTTGGTTGTCACTTTAGCCGTCAAATATTAACAAACTGTCTGTTATTCATTGGCAGATTGTCTACATTCTCACAGAGCTCTCCACCTGAATCAATGAGTCAAGAGTCAGTAAACTTAAAGCTGTTAAAAGACTTGAGTAATCATCCTCTCTGGACCACCTACAGTATAGCACAATGACTTTATCCCTCATATAAGCCTTTATGGAACCTACAACCACTGTTATCTGTAGAGGAAGGCCCATCCTTTTCCTGTTCTGCAGTCTGAACAAATAAAAAAGGGTTTAGTAAACTTCAAGAGGAATCACATCCCACTGCTTTTTTTTTTTTCCAAAATGAACCCCCAAGAGACATAGGTTCTGGTTTTGTGTGAACCTAATGAGATTTTTCTTTGAATTTGATTTGATGTGGGACAGCAGGAATGTGTAGTCATAAAGACAGAGATCTATGATACAATTAGAAATCCTTAATACAGCTTCAAATGAGTGAGATGACTGTAAAATGTATTAACTGCTTCTCATTTAGTTTGTTATTCCCCTTAAGAGAGCCCCACCGACCAAACTAATTATTTAGTTGAATCAAAGTTGTAAAGTAAAAACCTGTGAGAAGTCGACTTTTGACGCAAGTAAGTAGTACCGTCTGATGAAGTGCAGAGCCCACTCTGTGTGAGTGACAAGCCCGGCACCACGGCCGCCCACTCACAGACGAGCTGGGTGACTCTTAATTGTGTAACGTTCATTGACGAGTCAGCACAATGCTGCTGAGACCGCGGAGGCGCACTGAGCCGAGCAGAGCGATGAAATGCTCCCATCGAGGAGAACACAGATGGACAGCCTAGTTCAGCCGCTCGTCGCCCAGTACCTCGCCATGGGATGCCAATCAAAAGAAAACAACCAAAACGAAAGTATAACGTCGGAAGAAAAGGGAAAGGACGATGCGTAAGTTAGATCACATTTTCGGGGTTTTGCTGGAGAGTTTCTGGTTCGGGTTTGGGCGTAAATGTGCGCACTTACCCAACAGTAGCTTGATTATTTCAGTTATTAGAGTTGTGGTTTTTAATGACTGTTCTTCAAGGTAAAGAAAAAAAACAGGCGTGCCTTGATTTGTGGCTAAACGGTGCGTAAAACTGCGCTGATGCCACCCAATTATTTTACGCACAGGTTCTGTCATCTGAATTGTCACTTTCTGAGCTGCTGCACTCAAACTGCGTCTGTTTCACTCAAATTCCTCCTTGTTTACTGGTCACTCAACAGTTTAAACTGGATGTCCGCAATCAACTGGTATTTCCCCAAGTTAAAGGAAGGAAATGAGAACAATGCATAGCAACATTCCGGGAGGGCTCTTACATTCAAACAATGGCTCCAGACTCTTGTGACAACTGCACAGATCGTTTCATGTGCGATAATCTGTGGTCTCAGAAGATCATGGTTTCAAACACGTGTAGCATACATCCTCATAGGCAAACAGAGAAAGGCATAGTTTCAATACAAGCCCTCCTGTCCCCTCCTCCCCCTCACTTTTCTTGTGTTGGTGTCTCTAAAGGAGAGTGACTCCAGGATGCGGCTCCAGGTCTAGGGTTTCTCCTCCAGGCCGCCCTCACAGGTTCCACAAACCCAGCCCGCATCCAACCCAAACCGCCCCCAGTAAATCCATGATGTCCCTGGGTCCCCTCACCAAAGGGGGGAGCTGGGAGGAGCTCATTCAGGCCTGTCTGCAGTCCTTCGGTAAGTCCATGCTGACCTGCTTTGGCACTATGAGTTTGACTTGGTGGAAAACTACAGTGACGTGTGCAGCAGGAGCACAGGTGTCTGCAGTCCATGTTCCTGTAACACTGAAATCTTATTCACTGGGATCTTTTTGTTGATGTTTGACTCATGCGTTTCTGCAGCACTTGTCTCTGTTATTGAAAAACAATAAGATAATGAGCCTCCTGTGTAGTTTCCCAGAAGTCTGTGTTTTTCCCACCACTGCTCCTGGCATTTGGATGCAATCCTCTAACAAGTTTGGGCAGGCCTCTGAAGAAAAGGAGTGGGATGCTTTGCATTTAAAAGTGAAACGGATTGTCTTAACACAGCTGACTTTGTTTTTGTTTAACATAGGATTGTATGCTTTTAAGATGACATCAGTCACATTGATGCTTATCAGATTTTTTTATTGCTTTGTGTGATTTGAAAGTATTGAGGAAAACAGTGTTTGGGGATTACATGCATTATAATTTCTGCAAACACAGGCTGCACTGTATTTATCGATGAATATATCAGTATCAATATTTAACTGTAAGCAAGATATATAGAGGGTTTTTTAAATAAAAAAAGGAAAGCGTGATTGAGTAGGCTGTTGCTGGATCAATCAAGCAATGATCATTGGCTTCAGCAAGTTGTCTGGAGTGCTCTCAGAGTTATGGTGATTGCGTCTCTAAAGAGACAAGCTTTCAAATTGCCGTTGCCTGGTTACACAAATGGAGCAAGAGCAGTGGAGAGGCGTTACAATGGGCTGCACATAAAATGACATCCCATAACCACATTTATCTGTGGAGAGGTAAAATCAGGCAGTAATGACAGCTCATTTCAGACCCACGAAGGAAACAGAATTAACCAGGGGAAGAAGAGTTAAGGAACCCTCTAGTATTACAGAGTGCTCTGAAGACTCGCTTTGAAAAATAATTTCAGTGTCACTATGCAAAATGTGTAAGTCACACGCACGCGCTCAAGATGGTATCTCACTGAGTACAGAGTGTTAGGAGTGGGGTTTTCCTTGAACGGCTGCTGCTGGTAAAATGGAACATAGTCCTGTTCCTCTTGGCCCACATCACAGGCGAACCCCTAAGGTCCACCTTTTCAGATGTGAGAGTGCACGTAAGAGCTATTTGAAGGATTACCTGATGGCAGCTTCAAGCCTGGCTGAGCCGAAAGGTCAGCTCCCCTAACAGTGGTCCTCAGATGCTGACCAGCCTTTGAAATGCATAGCACTGTGAGGTGTAGATCAATAGCTGTTGACATCATCACTCTCTCAAGACCACACTGTTGCGCTGCATGCTCTGATTATGCTCAGTGTCAGTCTAATTCACATATATTTTATATATACATACATCACGTTCACGAGTTCGTGTGCAGGGCTTGCCGTGTTGTGTGTATATATATGTGTTATATATTTATATGTTTTAAAGGTGTTCATTTGAGTAATTTTTCATTGGATAATATAGAACTATTAGTGATATAAAATGGGTTTAATAATGGGTGCTTCAATAGCTTTCTTATACAATTGAATTATTAATGTTTGCATTTATACTGCTACCCCTTTGAGTGGCACAAGCTGGATGTTTCAGCCATTTACTCATAACTAAAAACTATTTCAACCATTAAGCCATTACCTTTAACAATTTCAATCCTTTGTCCATTAGCTATTTAATCCATATTATCTATTAATAAGGCTAAGTATTTTAACCATTAGCCATTACATGTAGCTACTTTATCCATAGTCTAAACTGTTTCTGCAGTTTTTAGCTTGGTTGTCTAACCATTACATTTAGCTACTTTATCCATAGTGTTAATTGTTTCTGCAGTTCATCCACTACTTCTAGCTCAGTTGTTTATCCGTTACATTTAGCTACTTTACCCATACATGTAGTCTTAACTGTTTCTACAGTTTACCCATTACTTTTAGCTCAGTTGTTTATCCATTATGTTTAGCTACTTTATCAATGGTCTCATCTGTTTCCGCAGTTTATCCATTACTTTTAGCTGAGTTGTTTATCCCTTACGTTTAGCTCCTTTATCAGTAGTCTTAATTATCTCTGCAGTTTATCCATGACTTTTGACTCAGTTGTTTGACCATTACGTTTAGCTACTTTATGCATCGTCTTAATGTTTCTGCAGTTTATCCATTACTTTTAGCTCAGCTGTTCGTCCATTACTTTATCCATAGTCTTAACTGTTTCTGCAGCTTCTACATTACTTTTAGCTCAGTTGTTCATCCATTATTTTATCCATAGTCTCAACTGTTTCTGCAGTTTCTCCATTACTTTTAGCTCAGTTGTTCATCCATTATGTTATCCATAGTCCTAACTGTTTCTGCAATTTATCCATAGCTTTTAGCTCAGGAGTTTATACATTACATTATATATTTATTTGAATGATACATCCATGTATTTTAATCTTTTATCCATTACCTTTAGCTATCTTTTTCTATTCATTTATCCGCTGCTTCTAGCTACCTTCTTGGCTCGCTTGCTTACTAGTTTTCACACACTCTGTCATGTGGTGTCCAGGTGTTATAGCTGACTCAATATTTTGATTCTTTTTTTTTTTTTTAATCAGTTTGTGAACTTGTATTTTATAATGCTGTGTTCAAATGGGAACGCGTTTATTGTGCTCACGAGAAGATTCCATATGAACCCACCCCACTCCCCCCCGTTGTGGACTTCATAACCTCATAAGTGGAAATTTTCTGAGAGCTCCGAGTTCATGAGTTCATGTACACGACTTCCCATGTCATAAACAGGAGCTCATGAGTTCCATTTGAGAGAAGCATGAAATTTATTACTACGACACAGTCTTTCAGTTTAACCCTCTTGCAACTGCAGCAGTACTTTCTTTGGTAAAGAAACTTGGGAATCTGGCTGGGAATCACTGCTCTAAAATATAAATTCAGAAACTGTCCATAAAGTTACAGTGAGTTATTATGGAGACGTTTGCTCAGAGTACAGAGAGATAACCATCTTCCTGCATCTGCCTTGGATTCCTCTAAAACAAAGAGACCATACAGGCTGATAGGCTCTGTCATAACAAGGAAAAGCGACACACAGGTTTGGAGTGGCTGATGAATGTTTAAGATAACCTTAAAAGTAGGCCAGGCGCTGCGTGCCCTTGGCAGTGTTTATCACCATACAGTATCATACAGTTCCAGTGTAGCGGGCGGCAGCTTTTCTAATTTTCCAGTCAGGAACAGACAGTCCAGAGGGGATTTCCTCCTGCAATTAACCCTGCACAGGGAGGGTTAGCGGTTGGAAACTTGTGAAAAAAATGATGGAGCAATTGTTTACCTGATAGAGAGTCAGAACTTCCTGTTGTGCATTTGTCATAAATCTGGCTCTGCTTATCACACCAGATTGTGTGAACTAAGATGTGCGTCTGAGTTGATCAGTAAAACAGGATGAGTTTACCACAATTGTCAAAAAGAGGAATATTGCATTACATACATGTGACTTAACTGCACCAAAGCATTGCTGCATTACAAGTCATGTTATCCTGAATGCCAGACATTGTCTCACTTTGTCTTTTGCTCTCTTATTGACTTGACTGGTGAGGTAATTGATATTCACTGGGTTTAGCTGATAGTGGCTGCGTGTTACAAACAGAAACACACCCAATGCAGGATATGAGGGCTGGATTAGTCAGCTGTGGCTGGAGTGGTGAGTTGCTCACAGATAACAAAGATTAGAAAACATGTTGCCATGGCGTCCGAGGTATTTCCAAGGTGATATGGTTTAAAAGTGGGTCCACAGACGCCTGATGTCCTTGATGGTGTCAAGATACTGGTAAAGCTTAAAGGAAAGCAATTCTCAGCCTGAAAACTCTTTCTTGTTCTTCAAATTTTCAGCACAGCGTGTTCATTCTGTACAGATTGTGGGAGGAAGATGCAAACAGCCTAAAATGTCCCACGATACATAAATAATATTTTTGAAGAAGCAATTAAACGCTCTTCCTCTTTTTGTCAACCACCAATTCCCAGCACATGGCTGTGGTTTCAAGTTTGCGCAGAAGACAAGTGATGCGTTGCTTTGTTTAAGAGGGCAGGAAAATGCGTTTTCTACAATCATAGGTCAGGCCTGGCATTGTGATGTTATGTAATATTTTGTACATATGTAGGCTAATTTTTTTTTTTTCAAAGTGGTTGAGAATAAAGTTTCTCACTCTGTGGGTCTCAAGATTTCAGTTGTAGCGTCGCATCAGACGACCACGATAAGAAAAGGTGGTCTGGTCACAAAGGGAGGAAGTGAGATGTATGCGAGGAAAAAGGAAGCGAAAAGGTAGTGAGACAAGCAAGCCGCAGAGGTTCACACAGTCAGAGGAAAAGGCAAATCTTCAGTAACAGGGTCTGTGGATAATATGACAAAATGTGCTACAGTGTGAGTCTGTGTTTTACCTGCTTAACCTAACTCTGTGTCTTCCATTGATGGAAAAATCCATCTCATGGTTTTCACAGATAACATGAGGGTTAGTCAGCATTAAGGAGCCATTTAGGGGAAGAGTCATATCTTCACTTGTCTTCAATCCAGTAAAGAATTGAACAGAAATCTATTGTGTAATCAAAGGAATACAATAATCTGTGAAGCTCTGCATCCATGGACATTGGTTTATTTGTAAAGATTGGTCCAGTTCCTCCAAGAATAAGGCTCTTCAATTCTGTATTTTTCTTACCAAATCCCACAAAAGACCACAACCTACAATGAACCGAATCAACTAACAAATATTGACAGATATATCTAATTCTTCTGCGCCATAGATTTCCATGTTGTCCAAAAACTACAATACATCTGTGAGCCACAACACACGGGGTTACACGTTCTTAAATGACAAAAAATATTGGCACTGTAGGTTATCTTGAGTCAATCCCACATTTTTGAACACTCCAGTGCTGCTGAAAATATTCAGAAGATAGAGGAGTCCAAAGGTATTGAAAGATGGACTTACGCATTATTGTTTTTGTTTTGTTTTTTTCATGGGAACTGTGACAAAAAGAAAGACACACAAAATCACCAACCTCATCTTTTAAAGAGATACTTTTGCAGATTTTCAACCAGATTTTTGTCATAACAATGTGGGTGGAATGTGTAAATGAACTGTGGTAAACTTATCTCCATCTTACCAGCGCGTAGATCTCCCTGCTCCCATCCCAGTCAAACTCCGCTGGATGACGTGTCTTAAGCCATCTGCATCATCCGGTGGAGTTTCGCTGACTCTCCCGGGCTGTTGCTAGAACTGCAGGCTCTAACTCTGCATTTTCGTATTGGCTGCCAGCCATGCCGCCGCTACTAACACAAAAGAGCATAGAAGTAGATCAAGAGGCAGACCCACTCCTCTGTCTCTCAAACTCAAAGAAATCCAATCAAATAGTAAAACTAGGCAATGCTGATTGAATATAAATCAAGTTTACGTTACCACACTGCCTATTTACTGCCTTAAATGTTCTTTGGAAACATATTTTAGTGCCTTGTAGCTGTAATAGCAAGAGTTTGTGAACAGGAAGTGGGCGCCATACTAGTTCCTGCACAGTAAAAACAGAGCCTGAAAAAACTGAGATCAAACGGTAAAACTAATAAACAACCAGCCGCCATTGTGTCAAACGTACAAGTTTGCATTAAGTCACCTACCAGCGGGCGCATTTATTGGTCTCATGTGGCACAGTGCATTCTGGTAGATTTTCTACATCTTGAGCAAAAGCAAATGCCACAGTCCTTTTTCTCTGTTTCCTCTGGTCATGTAGCACCAGCTTCAAAAGTTTAGCATCTTCATCTTCAGTAGAAAAGACCGTCTTTCCAGCAGTGAAATACTTCTTTAAGAAATTAACTGTGTCGTCTGTTTTGGTCTAAATTAAGCCTGCTGTAAGGAGACTTCTTTAGTCCATAATCAGTAGCTCTTGAATTTTATTTACACCAGTTTACTTTGAGAAAGCAGAGCAATGACAGCTGAGATGTTACGTTAAATGTGATGCATGTGACATGTTGTCTAGACACTTCCTAGACACTTCCTCCACTGTGTAAGAATGAGGGTAAATTCAAGTGTGTGCATTCTGTCTTGCAGACTCGAATGGTTGCGTGTGCGGGAGCAGCCACCTGTTGAACATCACCCTGACCATGCATCGTCTCCACCTCTCCTCCAGCAATCTGCTAGACAAACTCATCTCTCTATATCCTTCAGCTGCCTGACATAAGGCTATAACCGCTATCTCAACACAGACAGATGATTCAAACGATGCACGGGCCGATTGCGAGCAGCAAATGTAACGTGGGATCAGATCACTGGCTCTGTTGTGTGCTGCTGCTGCTTTTTCTTTGGTTGTCAACAGCAACGGGCAATCAAGCTCGTACTTGGCTTACAGTGCAGCCTGTAGCTGTCAGTGTAAAATGTGATCAGCAAGTGGCAGCTCGTGTTTACTCCTGCTGTCAGTCGCTGTGGACCTCTTACATCTCTATCTGCGTGAATTCCCTCTACTTTGGGCCCTGCATCCCATGCATTCAATAACAGGCACTCTGACGCCATTGTGTATTTGCTATCTTTCAAAATGTTTGATTCTGCCTCTTTCATTTTACCCACTTCACACCTAGAAAAAAGCATGTTTTTTTTCATTTGTATTTTGACTTGAGGGACTGTAATCTGGGCCTCCATTCAGGAAACAGCGATGACGTCACAGAGCCTCTCAGAGGAGCCTCCTGGCCACAGTGAGCAGCAGCCTTGGGGGCTTCAGGTGTTAATTACCTCTGCCTCTTTCACGTACAGGTCCTCTTCAGCTATATATAAACACAAACCCTCTATTGCTTAAAGAGGCCCCTGCTCACACGAACCCACGTCAGAGCATGCAACGCCGAATGCCCCTCTGCTATTTTTAACCCTCTCATTCTGAGCCGAAGACCTAAAAGGATACATCAAATAAATTCAGTGAGTGGGTTAGGATCAGGGAAGAGACACAGGGGCCATTAACAGCCTTCATCACAGTCTGGCCTTGGGATTGCGTGGGCCGTTCTTCTGCTCCCATGACGCAATTAGCCTTTTTATGTGCATCACTTCAAGCTGATTTCTGCCAATTGAGAGCTATAGTGTCAGTCTGTTTATGAGGGCTGCTTCGTATAATAAGGAAATGGTTTTGTGTGCACTGTATATAAATTGATATGGCGGTGGTATTGTGGTCAACATGCAAATTGTAGGCAGAGCGACCCCATTAATTATATTCTCATGGGTTGACAAACATCTTTAGAGTCCTACCACTAAAAAATGCACGTTCATCAACAGTTGTTCGACAGTATATGAGGCACTGATTGCGTGTTCTCTTTGTACATTTTGTTATTCACTTACTTCTGTGTGCCAGAATGATTCACTCGGTGATGCTCATCAGAGTATTGCTTCATGCAGTTGCCTCCTCCCACATCACCAAATGCCACTTCTGTTCGCCTTTTAGTTTAGTTGCTGTAGTTTTTATTAATGAGTTGTTTGTGCGAAAGGAACCCCGCAGTCAAATAACACATATGTTCATTATTTACTCAAAACATACCTGTCCCCATGATCGGTAGATTTACTGACAAAGCTGTTTTCACCTAAACCAAAGTATTGTCAAGCTTGAAAACACTCCCAGCTTTAACTTTCAGACAATAAAACCACACCTCATGTCAACATCAGCTCCTTAACCAAAACCCTTACATTTAAAACAGCGCTGGACAATGAGCAACCAGCAGAGTGCCAGAGGATATGCTACCTCATCAGGTCAGTATAACACATCAAGAGTCTAACTTTGCTTGTATGTTCTGTGTCACTTACACGGTATCTATCGTCTCTGACCTCCAGGCATTGGATCCAGGAATTCTGGATGATGTTCCGGTTGCACCACAGCTTGTCAGATAGCCTGGACACGTTCCGGGATCTGATCCGAGAGCAGGGACAGGAGCATCTTTGCTCTCTCCTAGAGACCAAATGGATGTAAGTGTTAATCTCTGACCAGCTGGCAACTGAGACATTAGGCCTACACGACACTCAGTTGTTTGTTCAGTCATGGAAAATACTGAAATCTGTCACGATCGAGAATACAGACTTTGATCCTTGCCTCTAATATAGCTTCAAAGTTAGATCAAATGTTTTTGTTTTTCACACCGTTTGACATCACATTAGGGATGGGACAATACAGGATTTTATCTCAGATTGTGATAGAAAAAAACACTCACAATAAATTGATCATAGTGAATTGCCATTATTGGGATAATCTTGAATATCGTGTCCAGCAGCACCCAAAGAGACTGCTGGCTGTCCAGCAATAAGAGACTCTGCAGGTTGTTTGCAAAACACACTGCATACTCACCAAACTCAAAAAACAGAAGATCTTAATTGATCAGTGGCATATTTCAAATGAAAAGACACATGTCGTGTGTGTGATGCAATAAAAACATAGGTTGTTTCTTAAAGAAGTACTTCACGGCTGGAAAGATGGGCCGTCTATGCGGTAAAAAGACACAAATACTTTTGAAACTGGTGCTACAAGACCACAGGAAACAGAAAAAGGGCTGTGGCATTCGCTTTGCTCAAGAGATAGAAAATCTACAGCTACCACGATGCACTCTGGTGATGTAATGCAAGCTTGTCTATTTTTGACATTTGAAACAGCCGTCTGGTAACAATCTATCTCAAATTACACTTAAATGGTCAGCTAAAAATGTTTCTGAAAAAACATTTTGGTGAGAAATAGGTAATACAGTAACAGCATCTGGTTTTATATTTGATCAGTGCTGCCTAATTTTACAGGCTGATCGAAGTTTGGTCTGAGTTTGAGAGCGAGAGAGGGGCAGCTCTCTTTCAGTCTGCTTCTATACTCTTTGTGTCCGTGGTGGCGGACATACGAAAATGCAGTACTATCTGTCGTTCAAGCAACCCTGAAAGCCAGTCAAAATCTGCTGGATGATGCTTGAAATTTTGACGTGATTTGAGCTAGGGGATGAGCAGGGAGGTCTGAGTGATGGTAAGATGGAGGGAAATTCACCAGTTAATTTACAGATACTAGTATCCCTTCAACAAAATGTGTGCTTCCAGTTTTAGTGCCATTTTAAGAGTTTTTAGCAAATTTTGACGATTATTGGGGTGATATTGTGAATCGCAATTATTTTGGCCAGGATAATTGTAATGTAATGTAATTCCCATGCCTACATCACATATCTGCAGCTAACAATTGTTTCCATTATTGGTTAACCTGCCCATTATTTATTACTTTTTCAATTAATCAATTGATCATTTGATCTGTAAAATCTCAGAAAGTGTTGATCACAATTTCCCAGAGCCCAAGACCATATCTTAAAATGTCTTGTTTTGTCTTACACACAGCCCCAATCCCAAAGATGTTTAATTTACTGTCATAGAAGAATATAAAAACCAGTGCATATTCAAATTTAGGAGGTCGAAGCACTGAACTGTTGGTCAAAAAAATATTTTAAATGGAACTTAAAATTTAACTTTACAACTTATAAAAAATTGCCAGTTAATTTCTGTCAATCTGTATAAGCATGTCAGCCCTATTCATATCCAAACTGTACAGTTCATGGCTGTTCTATTATGTCAAATGGAAAAGTTAGACCAAATGTCCATGTAATTCAGCATATTGATATCTTTAGAAATGTTTACATCTTTAATTTAAAATAATGTGAAATGTTTAGCCACTTTAGAATGAGTCTGTATGGAAGCTGTAAGTGTCCAATTTATGAAGTCGTGTTATCAGTTAAACTTAGCTGACTGTGAACGGGGTCGTGTTATGTCTGATGGTGTCCTCTAGAAATGAACGGGACTGGTCATGGAAGGCCAGCCAGAAGATCAAAGCTAACAGCAGTAAAAAGAGGAAGGTCTCTCTTCTTTTTGATCACCTGGAGCCCATTGAGCTGGCTGAGCATCTCACCTTTCTGGAGTTCAAGTCCTTCTGCAGAATATCAGTGAGTATACACACTAAGAGACTATTCGGATGTATATAGGTTATCTTTTGCACATTGATGATTTGTTTATTTGGCATGCATCTCTGTGAACTAAAAACCATCTGTATTTCCTCCCCACAAGAAATGCAGTGCAGTTTCCGTGCAGCAATTTATGCTCCTCTCTCTCTGCTCTCTCTGCCAGTTTGTAGACTACCAGAATTACATTCGAAGCTGCTGCATGAAGGACATCCCCGTGATGGAGCGTTCCATCGCCCTGTGTAATGGTATCTCTCAATGGGTTCAGCTGATGGTGCTGAGCAGGCCGACCGCTCAGCTGAGAGCTGAGGTTTTCACCAAGTTTATCCACGTGGCACAGGTAGTGGTTTAACCAGACCCTCACTATTACTCGTACACTTTCTGTTCCTGGTTTAGCAAAACAGAAAAATGGAACTCCATTTGACATGCTTCCTCTTTGCTTGCACTCTACGTGCTATTGTTCACACACCTTATCTAACTAATGACAGTCTATTGTAACACCATGAACAGCACTATAGACGCTACATAATTGGCAGTTGCATAATGCAAATTCACAGAGAGCTGGTAATGATTCTCAAGAGCTCTGCTGCAGGCTTTTAGCGTATCCAAAGATTTTACCAATAGAAAAATATTAACTGAATGCAAGCTAATGGAGTCACCAAGTGAAACACACTCAGACAGTGAGGAGTTTGGGAAGTGGAAAAAAGAGAAATGACTCGTGAGTGCAGTCGCTGGTCACATCTCCCTTGTTTAAACCGCTCCAATGCGAAGCTGCTTGCAGCCTGCTGAGAAGCGATGTGCTGGCTTCAGGGAGCCGCTGGCAGGTTTGTACTCTGGAGGACCTCTTGGACTGTTACACTAATGCACCAGTCTGCTGCTGCTCACTGCTGTCAACCTCAAAACCCACGGGTGTGGAAACGAATTTCACACCATAATGCTCCAGTGACAGCACGAATTAGAGAACTGAAAAGAGAGGGAAAAGCACTTCCAAAAAAGAGTGAGATATCTGAGCGCAGTAAGAAAAAGCCAACAATATAAGTGGCTTACGTAACTGCAGTGTTGTGGATTACATAACCAGGGCTACCTGGAACAAGTTTAATTGTGTGTGTTTATGTGTGTGTGCGGATGGACTGATATGTGTGGTTTTTGTGTGTGTGTGTCCGTCCACCAGAGTCTACATCTTATGCACAATTACAACACACTAATGGCGGTGGTGGGAGGGCTTTGTCACAGCTCGATCTCCAGACTGAAGGACACCACCTCACATGTACCCAATGAGGTCACCAAGGTAAACACAGTTACAACAGTACGATCCAGCTGATTATAGAGCCAAAACAGCCTCACAAAAAATTCTATTCTCTCCCCAGGTACTGAACGAGATGACAGACCTGCTGTCCTCTTGCAGAAACTATGACAACTATAGACAAGCTTACAACAAGTGCACAGGTTTTAAAATCCCCATCCTGGGCGTCCACCTCAAAGATTTGATTTCGGTCAACGAGGCCATGTCAGACTATGTGGAGGACAACAAGGTGAATGTCCAGAAGCTCCAGGCACTCTACAACCACATTAACGAGCTGATCCAGCTCCAACAAATCCCTCCCAAGCTGGATGCTAACAAGGACCTGGTCCATCTGTTGACGGTAATGCACCCTTCTGCACAACGTTGCATTTAAGATTCTTTTGAAATTGTTCTGTCGCTCCATGTGATTCACCAGATTGTATTGAACGTAAGCACAGATGCAAATGAGTGTGTTACAGCATGTGGATTGTCCGCGCTTGTGTGGGCGTGATGAGAGTCTATGATCTATGAGTGTGTGGGTGACGAACTGAGTGTGAATAAGAGTGAGTTCAGATTGATATATTGTTGTGCTATCTGTGTGGTGCTTTAATCGTACTTGAACGACAGAATGCCCATGAAGAGATAATAGTTACCCCATGACCTAAAATTGCCCTAATCAAAACATGTTTCAAGGAGAAAAATCTAGATATGCAGTGAGCTCTCTCTGTTTCTGTTTACCTTCCATGTGCTGACATGTGGTCTCTCCTTCCCTGCAGCTGTCCTTGGACCTTTACTACACTGAGGATGAGATCTATGAACTGTCTTACGCCAGGGAACCCAAGAACTGTAAAGCACCTGTGAGTGATAGAAGCAGAGACGCTTTAAGTTAAAAACTGTTTGCAAAAGAGCTGGATGGAAAGATTGGTGCCACTCTCATGTTTGTATGCTAAATATGCAGCTACAGCCAGCAGCTGGTTAGCTTAGCTTTAAGACTGGAAACAGGGAGAAGTCAGAATGTCAACAAGCTAACGTTAGAAGTCAAAATTATTAAAACAAAAGCTGAGTAATGCTTAGAGGAATATATTGGCATTCTATGAATTACACTTACTCTCTTTATTGTCAAGAGTTTGATAAAAAAAAATTGATACCACTTTTAAGTCTGAATGCTACATTAAAGCTAGAGCCAGCAGCAAGTTAGCTTAGTTTTAAGACTAGAAACAGGGGGAAGCAGTTAGCAAATCAACAAGCTAGCGTTAGAAGTCAAAATTGTTAAAAAAAAAAAAAAAAAAAAAGCTGAGTAATGGTTCAAGAAATAAGTTGGCATTTTGGGAAATACACTTACTCCCTTTCTTGTCAAGAGTAAGATAAAAGAATGATACTGCTTTCAAGTTTGTATGCTAAATATGAAGCTACAGCCAGCAGCCGATTAGCTTAGCTTTTAGACTGAAAACAGAGGCAGAAGTTAGCATGTCAATAAGCTAATGTTAGAAGTCAAAATTATTAGAACAAAAGATGGCTAATGCTAAAAGGAATAAGTTGGCATAATGGGAAATAAAATGATCCTCTTTCTTGTCAAGAGTTAGATAAAAATTGATACCACTTTTAAGTTAGCTTAGCTTTAAGACTGGAAACAGGGAAACAGAATGTCATCAAGCTAATGGTAGAAGCATAGACTGTATAAAATAAAGAAGTCAAAATTATTAGAGCAAAAGATGCGCAAAAGTAATGCTTAAAAGAATAAGTTAGCATTTGGGGAAATTATTTTATTCTCATCAAGAGTTAAATAAAGTTAGATAAAAAATTTAGATCACTTTTAGGTCTGTAAACTAAATATGACACTACAGCCAGCAGCTGGTTAGCTTAGCTTCAAGACTGGAAATAGGGAAACAAAATGTCAACAAGCTAGCGTTAGAAGTCAAAATTATTAAAACAAAAGCTTAGAAATACTTAAAAGAATAGTTCGGCATTTTGGGAAATACACTTAACTCTCTGTCTTGTTAAGAGATAAAATATTGATACCACTTTCATATCCGTACGCTAAATATGAAGCTACAGCCAGCAGCCGCTTAGCTTAGCTTAGCTTAGCTTAACGTGTCTTAGCTTACAGACTGGCCACAGGGGGAAAAGGCTAGCCTGGCTTTGTCCACAGGTGACAAAATCGACTTACCAGCATATCTGAAGCTTACTAGTTAACATGAAAAATCTGAGCTAGCTGTTTCCCCTGTTTTCCACTCTGTATAGCTATTAACTAAGCTATCCGGGTGCTGGCTACAGCTACATATTCACAAACATGAGAGTGATCAATCTTCTCATTTAAAGGGTAGCTTTGGTGTTGTACAACCTGGGCCCTTTTTAACTACAATTTTGCTTTTAAGTGACAAATGGAGACAACAATTTTTTAATCTGGTCCAGTATTGAGCGACACCGCTGCAGCTAGCAGGGGCTAATCCCTGAGCACTGTCAAAGTACATCAACTAGAAGTGCTTGTTTTTGCCACTGACAGGCTCAGATTGTTAGCATAGGTGTCTGACAGCATTATGGAAAGGATCCATACAGAGGTCAACTTTTTGTTAAAGAGTAAGATTCTTTTTGTTTAACCAGAAACAGCCCAGAAATTGCCATTGCCAGACTCTATTTAAATAAACAGTAATTTAAGCTTATACAGAACCAGTGTATTTTCTCTTGTGAGTTTTATTTTGTTTCTGTTTATTTTAAATGAAGTGTGTTTTACGATGATAAAATTACTGTTTATTTAAAAGGAGTCTGGTTGGTTTCAGTGATTTTGAGGCTGTTTCTAGTTAAACAAAAAGGATCTTACTCCTAAGAGGTCGACCTCTGTATGGATCCTTTCCATAATGTTTCACTGGTGCTGGCTGCGGAGGTCTTGCTCAATTTAAAGAACTGTTAATCTGATTAGTCACTCAGACACAAGAACGTGGGAAAATAGGGTCCAGGTTTAAAAAGACCAAAGCTTCCCTTAAACTCTGCAAGAAAGCAGAGTGTATTTCCCAAAATGGTGAAATACATAAATGTCCTTTGAAGTATTACTCAGCTTTTTAAAACAGAATAATTTGCCAGTTCTGCTTCTGAAGGTCATTCATAGATTTAGTATAACTGAATTGCTCAGATAATATTTTACATGTTTATCTGCCTGCTCAGGCTTGTTTTTTTAATGACTAATTAATTTTCTATCAGCCAGCCACCCCCTCTAGACCTCCAGTGGTTGTGGACTGGGCATCAGGAGTGGCTCCCAAACCCGACCCCAGAACCATCAGCAAACACGTACAGAGAATGGTGGACGTAAGTGCTTCCTTTTTTCAAGTGTAGCCTCCACATAGCTACTCCGTCATGCCGTTATATAACCATAATCATTTGTTGTAACTATTCTTCTTGATACTGCCATTTTGACAGCCAGCTCTTGCAGCTATTGTGCACTAATAGTCACGCAACAATGGTGTTTGCCTCTTGTCTCTCACAGTCCGTGTTTAAGAACTACGATCACGACGAGAACGGCTTCATTTCTCAAGAGGAATTTGAGAAAATTGCTGCTAGCTTTCCGTTTTCCTTCTGTGTCATGGACAAAGAGAAGTGAGTCTGTTCGACAGGTCATGCACACACACTCTGAGCTCATGTGTAACTTCAGAGGAGAGGAAGAAAAGGTGGTATTTGTAGTTATGAGTGTGCAACAGGAAACATAAAATAGCTGCAGAACTAACCATAACCCCCGCCACAAAATATTCTCTATTTTATGTCTCATGCACGTACATTGATAGCTATATGATTCTCACAAACCACAGAGAAGCATGTGATTCCTTATTAAGATCTTAACATGAAAACCACCATAGCTGATGATACTGTTTTCACTTTGCACAATGGCAAAGTGGTATAGAGTTGAACCCATGTGGCAGATGAGGGTGCAAACAAATAAATCAGGACATGACCAAACAATTAAAGGGTGAAGTTAAGATCTAAAATATCTGTCAAAATGATTGTCTCCCACATATACTGCTCATCTGCAGCTCTATTTCCTCTGTAAAGGTGTACTGTATATGTGTTGTGGTTGTCCAGGGAAGGCCTTATCAGCAGAGATGAGATCACAGCCTATTTCATGCGGGCCAGTGTCATCTGCTCCAAACTGGGTCTTGGTTTTGTCCACAACTTCCAGGAGACCACTTACATGAAACCCACATTCTGTGACAATTGCTCAGGATTCGTAAGTCACCACACAACCACAGTGTATGATGAAATACAACTTTACTGCTCCGTCCCAGTCTAAAAATTTCCCAACAATATGTATTCATGTTTTCAGTTTTGCTTTTGCTTCAGCGGTGTGAAAACAGTTTTCTCCATATTCTGCTTCACAGCTGTGGGGTGTCATCAAGCAAGGCTACAGATGCAAAGGTGATTATTGCACTCCATGTTGTGCAACTTTTGCACTTCTTTCTTTGACCAAATGTCAGTAAAAAGTGAGGAGAGGTACACACACTGTCTTGTGGGGAGCAGGTAAAGTGGCGCTATGTTAAGACGGTGTAGTGTGGTTTTCTGTGTTGCAAACAGCTAGCTGAACCTTGCAGCACATGAAGAAAAAAGAGTCTGCAGCCAGAACCACAGTTTTTCCCCCTCCCCCGTCCCTCAAAAGATCTGAGAGCCATTTGTTTGCCTGACAGTGAGCATGCAAAGGTCTGAGAGTTGCAGTTGCGGAAGAGAGTGTTCAAAGAAAAGTCAGTTGTAGATAGAAGAGTTAACGCTAGTTCCTGTTCTGACATGTTGTGCATTATTTTGTCTTGCTTAGACTGTGGAATGAACTGCCACAAGCTGTGCAAGGACCAGGTGGCGTTTGAGTGCAAGAAGAACGCCAAAATGACCAACGCCATCGACAGCCCGACACCGAGCTCCACGCCGGTTACCATGGGCCCCTCAGAGGGTGGGTTTGGATGATAGGATTCATTGCCAGCATAAACACTCTCACACAGTGTCATTTCTCACACAGGCAAAACAAAAACATTTCTTTTGCACAAGTACCCACAGATGCACACTTTCACCTGAAGTATGAAAACAATAACATGCATGTGACATGGCTGCAATCAGTCAGTCCCATGACAGGTGCCATCTGGTGGCAGACAACTAATGCCAGCTTTACGCCAAAGGACTTTTCAATTGATGTCACTATCGCTGACAAATTAACAATGTCCGAATAAAATCTGGAGACCTCAGTCGAGCTTCCATGATCTCAACTGTTTGGTGTAAGGCGGTCGTAAAACAGTCAGAGCTGTCTTTTCAGTCTTTATTCTCCAACAAAATCAAACATGTTTAATATTATCTTGAGTTTTTAGTCTTGGCTCATGCAAATAGTGATGCACCAAATAAGAAGCGGCAAACCAGGTAGTAAGTAAACACTGAGGGGACTCTGACGAGGCAACGGAACATGAACAAGTCTCAGTTTGATTGTGCTGTGGAAAAGGAGGAGAAACTGGTGAGGTTGTCAAGTGAACAAGAGTTTATGTTTAATTCAGCGTGTATTTGATCCATCGATTGCCACTTATTTTTGTGAGAAATCTTAATTTTTTGAAACATTTCGCCTCTCATTGTCACGTTCTCCTCCCACTAAAATAGCGCAGCTAACCAACAGAGGCTGGTAGCAACAAAATCCAAAATTTACACAATCATAGTTGATCAGTATGGATTGTATTGATGCCGAATTGACAAGAATACTGTCAACATATGGCAGCTGTTATGTGTATGTGTTTTTGTGTAAATGTAAGGCTTTGTTAATATGTTATGTTTCTTAAAGGGAGTTTGGCGTGATATTTTCCACCAGGTGCCGGATGGAAAACAATCTCAACACAAAACTAGTTTTAGTCTTGCAAACAGTGACCCTGCAGAACCACAGTCTTTGCAAGTGTGTGACTAAAAACTTACATTGTCTTTAGATGTGAGAGGGTGTTTTTCAAAGTCTTTTCAAAGCCCTCTATTGTATGGTAGGCATAAGCAGTGTTATTTCCTGTAAAGCTCTGCCTACCAGACTGTACGGAGAACAATGAAAGTCAGAATTTACTTTAGTTTGCTGCAGCTCAGAGAAAACAAGTCGAGAGCAAAGGGTCTGTTGTCAGGGTGATTTCCCTCCAGCTGTCATTAGGAACCGTTTCACTTACAGTAAAACTGAAGCTACCCACCTGCCATGAGAAAGCTACTATATTCAGAGCAGAACTACTTTTGATTTTACTTGGTATGGACAGACACAATCAGAAACGTCTAAAAAACACGGGGGCTATATTAACACATCCCCTTTTCAAATGAGTCTGTGTGACGTGGTGTTTGGTCACATGGTTTATTTTGGCTTGTGTTTCACTGCATACTGGTTTGAGTCATGTTATTTTTGGGTTGTTGATTGCTTTGAGCTAAGATATTGTTGTGACAGGAGGCTGAAAAGTGGCAAAAGTCAAACCTGCATTTTTTATTTGTTTTATTTGACATAATTACTAATAATGCCCATCTCTCCAGGTTCAGAAGACTGTCCTTTCCCCTACCCGCCACATGACAGCAAAGACTGGAGTCCAGAGTCCCCAGTCACCAACTATTTGAGGCCTCGGACAGTCCATAGTGGCACCCAGACAGAGGGAATCCAACTTTCCGCTGCAGCCCCTGAGGCCAGCCTCCCTCAGCCCTCTCTGCTGGTCCCAACAACACCCACCCTCACCTCCTGTCCCAGTCCAGTGCCCCAGAGAAAACAGCGACACTGTGCCAAGTGGGAAAACAGAGCGTCTTTTGCGCAAAAGCCTAAAGAGCCAGAAGAGGAGAGCAAACCCACCTATGAATTTCTGGAATCAGTGAGTGTCACGACAAAGTTTAATTTTTCCTCCGTACAAATGCACAGCACTTAAACGCACCACAGTTTCTGTGCATCTCACAAATCTCCTCTCTCCCTCTCAGGAAAACCAGAGGCTCCAAAAGGCCAATGACACACTACGTAGGAAGCTGAAGGAGGCAGAGCGTGAGGTGGAGATACTAAAGACACTGCTCAAGAGGCACGCTCTCCACCCTGTGGAGGAGGATTCCTCCTCCTAGACACGCACATACACTGGACCTCCTCTAGGGAGACTGGTGCTGCCCCCCTATGGCAGCATGTATAAAACTGGATCCAATGTTTAATTTATTGGTCATGAGCATTTCACCAGAATAACCAGACCCAGACAATTTGGCGTCACATGATAGGAAGTCGACAGTGCACAAAGCTTGTCAAGGGATTTTAATGCTAATGGTACACAGTCAATCAAAAGAGGACAATCAGCATGTCACCAGTAATTGAAGTTAAAGGACAGCTTTGGTATTTTTCAACCAGGACACTATTTTTACACGTTTTTGTGTCTAAGTGACTAATGGACACTGCTCCAGTATTGAGACAGACTGCTGCAGCAGCTGAACAGGCTGCAATGTAATCCCTACAGGCAACGGCCCACCGTCAATTTACATTCACTAAAAGTGTTTGTTTTTGCTTCTGACAGGCTCAGATTGTTATTAGAAGTGTCTGGCAGTATTAAGGAAAAGGCCCTATCGTTCACCGGCCTGTCTCTTATTGTGGGCCAGTCTACTGTGGAGAAGTCTTGCCCTGAAACCCCACAGAGTACAGAAAGTGTAGCTTAGTGTTATCTAGAAGATTTTCAGTGTCATGGCTGAATATTTCGTTGACTTTGACTATGTGGAAACGTCCGTGACATTTCAGAACAAGGCTTCTCCTTGAGCAAGACCTGGTCACACTCACACACACACACACACACACACACACACACACAGAGCAAAAGATAAGGGAAAACTTTTTCTGTGGGGTCTTTTACATAATGATGTCAGAGACATCCAATAACAATCTGAGCCTGTCAGTGGTACAAACAAGCACTGTTATCGGACGTAGATTGACAATGCATTACTGTCGGCAGGCATTACATTGCAGGCTGTGTCGCTGCAGTGGCTGCAGCAGTGTGGACCAGTTTAGAAAACTGTAGTCTCCATTAGTCCCCCAGGCACAACAATACGGTAAAGCAGGGTCCAGGTTCAAACATAGCAATCTTTCCCATAAACTATTTTGAGGTGTGCATTTCTTTTAAACAAGCTATAGTACATAGCACACACAATACAGTAAAAACACTGTAGCGTTATTTATAAAGAAGTTTGAAGTGAACAGAGGGAGCCTTTATACTGTATTGTTCAGTTCACAGAAGAATGAAAATCATTGCAATGAGCATTACTCACTTATTTTAGTGAACCATTAAGAGTGGCTGGAGTTAGAATCAAGTTTCCTGTCATAAAGATAAAAACATACTGAATGAAGGAGGGCAGTATTTAACAGTGTAAATAGGGCAGAATGTGTTTGATCAATTCTCGATCAATAAGAGACAAGCTATTTATGTTAAACATAAAATGGAAATCAGAGGAAATGCAGTTTATTGTGTAAATCACAGGTGCATCATTATTATTGTTATTATTATCATTATTATTATTATTATTATTATTATTAAGGATGAGAGCCCACTGAGAATGAAAGCTGGAGGCCTCACGTGTACAGTGCTGTTGTCGCTCTGCATCATTGTCCATGTTCATATCAATGCACACGATGTCGTCAGTGCTTCTGTTAATATTTATTGTCTCAAACACTACACAGTTCATAGAGAGAGTGACAGAAATTGACATTTTGTATAGCATACTGGTACTTTCAGTGAATTATTTATGCTCATGCGTGTTGGCGTCATATTGATACTTTCTATTTTCATTGTGCAGCCATGTCACGTTGTTGTTGTGTGTTCCGTTGAAGTGGTGTTGTACCGTGGGTCGAGATACGTGTGTTTGTAACGTGTGAAATGTACTGTAAATACGAAGTATACACAGTGCCATCTTGATTAAGTCATCCTTTCTCTCAGTATTGTTCTCTTGTTGTTATAATAAATACTGTATTCTACATAGAAATCATTGCCTGTGTTGCTCAGTTTGACCACTGGGGGTCACTAAAGCCTCATAATGTTTCCTCAGCTTCCTGTTAATGATTATTGACTTGAGTTTTCAGACTCGTGGAAACTTGTACTATAAATGTTGCTCTCCAATTAGCTATCTGTGTGTTCACCTCAGGCAATTTCTGTCAGATTCAAGAGCAAAAACACCAAAATCAGATCATTTTCTACTCTTTCACAACATTAAAAAAAATAGCGTGTGAGTTTAAAGATGAGGCAAACTTAAGAGATTTGTTCTGTATATGTCTGTGAAATGTTGGAGTAATGGATTTGTGAGACAAACTGTCACCCTGTTGTCAGGAGAAAGTGCCAATCTACCCCGTCCCTTGGGCTTTGCTGCTCCTAATGAGTCCAGCACCGCACACATAATGTTGGCCCATAGATAATGAGGGGGCGACTGTCTGCTGTTGGATAAGCACAGACTCAAACCAAGTGTCTTCTCCTTCACGTTTCTTGAAGCACTGCCGCACACAGCAGGTGATGTTACACTGATGCCGTGCTTCACTGCGTGCATTTCTATAGTGGCAATTCAGCTCCAGATAAAGAAACCCATTTGACTCAAATTATATTGTGCTTCTTTATTTCTTGCAGCTATAATGACTTGTTGCCTTGCATCGACTTGGCAGTGAGCAGAGACCCCGGTGAAAGAAAAAAAAAGGCATCGTCTCTGAGGCATAGCAGCGGCTCCCAAGCCCAGCCTTGGTGACAGCTAATTTACTTCTATTTGAATGTGACACCCCGCTGCAAGGGAGTAACACCCCAAGTCTACCAGGCTGTGTGCACGCTAATGCTGAATAATTTCCAATATCATGGCTGGCTGAGAGAAAGTGACAGAGAGACCATGTGTTAAACTCCAGGGACAATGCCCCGGCTGCTTTTCTTCCCCCCACTGGGGCTGTAATACAAGCTCGGAAGATGAAATATATGTTATGCATGTGACATGTTAAAGAAGGCATCATAGAGATAAATATATCAGTGTAAAATTAATTTACAACCCCTTCAAAGAATGCAAACATAATTAATTGTGGTGCATTTAAGCCTGAAGATTATAAGACATATGTGGGCTAACTTGATACACAGCATATAACTCAGCTCTCCATACATTGAGAACAAAATATGACACTTCAAAAGTCTGCCTCATTACAGTGTGCAGACAAAGAAGATTTATCACCCAGACATCAGTGTACTTGGGGGAATTGGGCCATTTTGAGATACCCATAAGTTAACTAAATCTGCTAAGTCTAATGAACACACTCCGAAACTAATTAGGGAAGGATGTGGAACATCCCATTACGTCCCCCTGATAGCAGGGTGTGGGACACAGGGAACGCAATGAGAACACAACACATTTAACACACGCTCGTTTCAAACACCAAGGAAGAGCCAGCACCACGATGCCTGTAGGACACAGCGATGCCGAACTCCACTAATTCCCTTGATTATTAAACTGAGTTCATTAAGTTCTAATGATGGCCAAAGGACCCTTGTGGGAGAGCAGAGAGAGAGAGAGAGAGACTGTAGTGAAGGTGGAGAGGGGGGAAAAAAGAAAGACACATTTTGTGGAAATTTTCCAGAGGATGCTTGAAAACCATGTGAAGCCATGGTGAAATTTTTAATTAACCTTGATGATAGCGGAGGAGTGTAACAAGAGAAGGGCTGTACAGGAGTTTGCCAAGAGAAACATCATTGCTCAGCTGTGTCCCTCTTTGGCCTTTAATGATCGTGTAGTTTTGCTTCATAATACAGACTAAATCCACTTATAAGGTGCTGGTAAACAGACATAGAGAGAGAAGAGGGGACGCCTGAAGCTCATACGAGGGTAATGAATTTGTTGTTGACTGTGGGAGCACCCACGAAGACACATCAGCTGACATTTCTGTCTGTGAAATTCCCCAGAATGAAGCTGCACACACACATGAAGCAATCGACAAGTCCAGAATTTTACATCCTGTAAATTTCTAATGAAGTGGCTTCACAGTGTTTCTCTTGCTGGCAATGCAACTTCTCTTCTTGTAGTAATGGCTCCCCATTGGCTTTGGCACAGGCATATATTTTGGCTGGATACAAAGAAGCATATTCACAAAAACACATCCCTTATTTAGAGTGTTTTCTGCATGCTGTCAGCGTCAGACTGTTTGTTCCTGTGACTTGTTAGTCACAGTATGAATAATATACACGCCATGAGAAAGGAAACACAGCTCGGAGTTACATGTTGTGTAGGTAATGTGAGATTTATGTTAATAGGCAATTCAAAAGTGCAGCTGTTGGGATGACTTATGATTGATTTCACTCTCTGTTATTGCTCCTAAAGGTGTACTTTGGTGCAAAGTGCTGGAAGAGTAAAAAGAAAAACAGCTCCTAAATGCAACACATTTTGTATATCTGAGTTGCAGTGAGGAGCAGATTGATAGAATATCTTGTTTCATGTTTTAATGTGGTATTAAGCCAAGAAGTAAAGCTGCCAAATTACAACATGGCATTTGATGTAAAGTACTTACCCATGCCAAGAACTGAAGGCTATATGGTATGCAGCAGAACAAATACTGCAAAAGACAGACTGCAGAAGAGGAAGATTTATTGATGAAAAAAGAAAGCGGGTGGGTGAGAAAGAGAAGGACAAACGGAGAGAAAAGAGCTGAGAGAGGAGCAGATGCTACAGTGCCCGAGCAGCCTTGGACAATCAGTCGAACCCTCTGAAACAACACATTGCCAAGATCAAGGAGAGGAAAGAAAAAGCATTGCAGCAAAGGAGTAGATATGAAGGAAGTAGTAGGAGGAGAGTGAGTTAACCCCCTGTGAGAATTCCTGATGAAGGTGAGGAACACAGAGCAAATCAAGCACTCGTCTGAGCCGGTCTGTGTCTGAACTCTCCAAACTTTACATCCCCTTCTGTCTCCACAGAGCAGTGGGACACAGTCAGAGCTAATAGGAGCCCCAGTCTGCTGCTCACACAACACATAAACAGAAGGTGCAGTACAGAATTCAGTGAAATTAGAAATTGCCATAAGGTTATGGTGGACAACTTGTTTTTATAACACTTGTGTGTTTTGCAGGATCCTCAATAAAGACTTGTTATACTATAAAACATAAAAATCAAAATTGTTTAATATGTTAAGGTAACAATTTAAAAGATTTTCATAAAACAAATATCTGTTAAATGTGTGTAGGATTGGCAGAGTTGGAGTACTCACAGAAGTATGGAATACTCATAGTATATAATCACCTGAAACCATGGGCACCTGATCATGTTTTTAGGGAGGGGGCAAATTGGCAGGGGGATTCTTTCCCCCAGAAAAAAAGAAGAAATTATTAGTCAATAACCCATAAAATTTCCTGCATGTCTACACCATGTGCACTAATTTCGATTGGTTAGATCAGGGGCGTCAAACATATGTCCCATGGGCCATAACCAGCCCAATCAGGTCCATTCAGGCCGACTAGATGACATGATTTAGGGCCCGTCCCAATATGCACCCTCAGCCCTACCCCTAGAAGGGTCCCGTGAAGGGTAGGGGTGTCCCAATTCCTTTTTGCATGTAGGGGTAGGGGGCATAACGAGGGGTAGTGGTTATGAAACTAGCCCTTCGGAGAGAGGGATCTCAGATGCTGACTTGCCAGCAAGGGGTAGACGTCGCCATGGCTACCACCGAGCAAGAGACGGGGAAAAAAGTTCATACATGTACGTATCATTTCGCAAATAAACATGGAACTTTTGTAAAAACGTTTTCGAATAACTGTGTATTTGTGCAGAGAACAGCGTAACAATTTTTTATTGCTATTCACGATGTCTAGATTGGAGTTGACAGAACGCTAGCCAGCTAGCTAACGTTACTGTCGTCAGGTTGCTTGTTAGCTAGCTAGCTAGCTCGCACTATCTGGCGTCTGTCATCTGGGGGGCTAAGCAACACATTCTCACTCCAACCTCGTCACAGCTTGACGTTTTGATCATGGACTTTCGACCTCCACATACCACGTGCAAGGTACCCTGGGTGCGTTGGTTGTTGACTTTCTGGGACACCATATCAAGTTCTATTCTTTCAAAATACACTTCTGTTTCCACAGGAAATTTAACCTTTAGAGTCTCTTCCAAAATACAGGCACTATGTTGGTACAACACCGCGAAATGACATTTTTTAACAATAAACACGTGGTTGGGTTTAGGCAACAAAAACGTTGTTAGGTTTAGGAAAAAAGAACAGGATTTGGCTTTAGAATCTTACGGGACATGAACACTGCTCTCTCGGGTAGAGGTCGGTGTTTGTTGGACCCATCCACCACCCCTCCTGCCCGCCTCACTTGGACTTTTGCTGCCTTAACTTCCATCCTTGTCCCACTGCGTTTCCCCATGACACCGCTGGGCTTTTTTAGTTAGTTTCTGATGCCCGAGTGCCGGATTTCGCCGACTTCAGAGTGAGACCGTGCTCAATTTAAGAGGTGCCAGGTTTCAGGAGCAACTTAAACAATGCGTTGCCTACTTCATGTAAAATTCTGCTGCAGAGGCTTTTCCACCCTGACCAGAATACAGCTTTGATAAAACAATGAATACTTACTGTGACCATGTTTAAAAACATCAAACATTGTGCAAAATATTGTCAATCAGCAGCTTCAGTTCAAAAGAATCTGTATCAAGAAATGTATGGATAAATGCAGATGTAATGACAGTGAGAAGTAGACTGACTGAATGTGGAAAAACTGAAAGATACTGTTGAAATTGCATTTATTTCTCTCAAGACACCTCAGGCTGTTCATCTGTTTTGTAAAAGGATAAACGTCTACAGAATGTACTTGAAATTCTTTAGACAAAAAAAGGGAAAATATTGGAGCTACTTATAGGTTATTGTGTGATGGTTTAAGTGGTGCAGCCCATCTGAGATCAAGTTATGTTAGACTGAGGGTGCTATGAAAACCCCAAATGCATCAAGTACAGTATAACTGGGTGGATCATGACAGGAAATGATTATT